CCAGTCCTCTCCTTCCTTTCCCACTGCTGTGATGTAATCACTGCAGTTCTATTGTGCTCTTAGTCAATTACATTTTATTTGTGGTCCATTCTTTTTCCATTCACAGCAATCTTTCTTGAACCTGACTGTGATTTACACAGATGATCAGGAGCACTCTTTAAAAAAGCATAAATTCCAGGGCTCCTCACATGGGTCACTGAATCCAAATTTTCTGGAAAAAGTCCTGGGAATCTATATTTTTTTTAAAAAGCTTCCCAGGTGATTCTAATGCCCAGGATTTAATAGTCTAGTTCCTTCCTCCTTCCCTCCGTCTCTCCTTATGTGCTGGCTTCAAAATCTAAGCACCACATGTAACATTCTTGGAAGAGAGACAATATTCTTCATTCCAAACAATCACCAATTTACAAATAACACTTTGGTAAAAGACATGCCCGGAAACCTGGAACTTGTTGTATGACTACTGGCACTATGAAGAATTGTAGACTCAGAAATGGAAATATGGTCATGTTCTTTCTTCCTGAAGATATCTAAGGAAAGAGATATGTTTAAGTGCAAATTCTTGTGCTTTATTTGAAGTCTTTATTATATTCAGACTTCAAGAATTAATTAATTAATTAATATTAACTTAGTTAATATTAATTAAATAGTCAGACATAAAGAATTAAGACATGGGGGCGCCTGGGTGGCTGAGATGGTTAAGTGTCTGCCTTCAGCTCAGGTCATGATCCCAGGGTCCTGGGATCGAGTCCCGCATCGGGCTCCCTGCTCCTTGGGAGCCTGCTTCTCCCTCTGCCTCTCTCTCTCTCTCTCTGTCTCTCATGAATAAATAAATAAAATCTAAAAAAAAAAAAAAAAAGAATTAAGACATGGACTAAATCCGGCCTACACTGAGGTTCTGAGTTAGGGTGCTATTACCTTTTCTTTCTCCAAACTTAAACAACACAGATGTCCCTTAATCTTTCCTTGTACTCATTCTCCCCGCTCTTTGATTACTATTCTCTATTGTTCCTTCAGGTTCTTCAAGCTACTCTTGGTTCACCAGCAGGGACTAAAATACCTTCAGGGCACAACGGTACCAATCTACTTTATGGTTTGAAAACATTTGCCCTTTTTTTTTTTTTTTTTAAGATTTTTTTTTGAGAGAGAGAGAGTGAGTGGGCTGAGGCAGGACAGAGGGAGTTGGAGAGGGAATCTTAAGCAGGCTCCACACACAGCATGGAGCCCGACATGTGGCTCGATCTCACATGAGATCATGACCTGAGCTGAAAAAAAGAGTCGGACGCTTAACCGACTGAGCCACCCGGGCGCCCCATGCATGTCTCTTTAGGAGAATTTATTTCACTACTCAGGAGTGACTTAGATTAGTGGACTCAAATCTAAAGATCTAAAGATTGATACTCTGATTCAAACAAAGGAAGCTCCTTTTAGAATTCTTTTATTTAGTGGTTCTTCTGCATTTGATCTGTAACCAATTTCTGGGATTCCTATTATATAAAGATCAGAATCTGAATTTGATCTCAACGCTATTCCTGTTTTTTCTCATTCTCTTCTCCTGTCCCTCTGAATTCTCAAGTTGTTTTAGCTCATCTTCCTCCTCATGAATTCGCTTTTCTATACTTTCCCTAATGCTTGCAGTTTTCTCTTGAACAATCACACTTCTGGAAGAGTGAATTATTAGCTCCCATTCTCACCCTTCCCTGCATCTGTGCCCTCTGCCACACAACTGTGAAGTTCCTTCCACCAAATGTGGACTGTCTGTCTCCCCACCTTGGTTTTGCGGGTGGCCATGACTTGCTGTGGCTAATGGCTTATGGGCAGTTCTGTTTCCTCTCAGTCCCCTGGCTCCTCTGCCATCGCCATAAAAGGAAACAGTTATGGTTAGCTCATTAGTGCTGGGGGAAGAAAGCACAGACTTGTCCAACCTATGTCTTGGGGTCACCTAGCTGAGCTCAGCCAAAACGAGCAGAGCCAGAACGGACCATCCACACAGACCATAAGACTGCAGGACACCTGTGCTTCCAATGAGCCTTTAGGGCTGTTCAAGTGGCTATAGGACTGAGAGAGCGAACTAAACCATGCCTGACTAAGGAAAGCAGCTTAGGTGGCTCAGTGTCCTTTAAGGGAAGAGGCAGGACAGCTCCTTTCTTCTCTGGGCACTGGAACTTAAAGACGCTAACGGTTCTCCAGCAGACAAGTTGTGAGTAAGACGAGGAGAAGCAGACACTGACTTCCAGGGTAGGAAGAAGCTCCTCCCTCCAGAGGCTCTGAGGAAGAACTGATGCCCACCGGAAGCCCTGCTCCAGGCAACATAACTCAGCCCCAGCAAATGGCCACAGCCCAGCAGAGCCATGACTGTGGCAGAAGGAAATGCCCCCCGAATCCAGGCCTAAGCACCTGCATCCCCACCCTTTTAGGCTGCTGTGATTTCTTCCCTTCTGGCTTGGCTATTGTCTCTTCAGTAGGCTCCAAGAGATTGCCTGCATACATGACTGAGCTCTTTATTCTGTTGACTCAAAAATAAAAAGAGATTCTCCTTATTTTTCTGAATATGGTAATGCTCACATAAGCAATAAACCAGCCCCTAACTCTTAGTCCTCACTCTGGGAGTCAATTTAGCCGAAACTGAGTCTCAATTTAAGATTCTCCCTCCATGTGATGGCTCATCCCACAGGTAAAGGTTACCACCTGTGAGGCCGAAATAATGGTCTATGAGTACACAAGCCAAAGCCAAACTGCCAATTTGGTAGGAAGACCATGTTTTCTAATGCCATTAAAAAAAAAAACAACCAGCAAAACAGAAAAGGTCATAGAACTAATTTTATCCTATTTTCCAAATCCTTTCTGCATTCCATCTATGACACTTAATGGATGAAATGAGTGAACAGGTCAGGTTCAGTGAGAAAAGATACCCAGTGTCTGAAAAATGATTTTAAACAAAATTTTCTGCCCCTCAGCGTGTGCACTGCCTCCTTTCACAACCGAGGTAGTGAATAGGCTGTGCTCAGGCCACTTGGCTGCTAGGATGAAGTTAGCCTGGAGAATACTCTTCCAGGCCTCCTCTGCCGGGCAGGGGTTCCCTGAGATGTGGCATACCCGGGCCCAATTCTTCATTCAACAAATAGTTGTGGAGCTTCTGCTCTGCGCCAGGCCTGTCTGAGGTGAGTACGTACAGCCAGTGAGAAAGAGACGGGAAAACGACGGAACCTTTAACAAGAGTAAAGACAAAGCGATGCAGCTGTATTATATCAACTGTCACCTACAGCTGAAAGCACCATGGACTTGCCACTTCTGAGACTTCCTGTAAAACCACTTCTCCGAGCGGCCTTTCCTCCCCAGCTTGTTGTCAGTATTTCCAACAATCCTTGGCTCCCTCGTCTTGTCTAAGAGACAGCCAGCTGGGCCACTTGGGAGGAGAGCAACTCCCGAGGCTCAGGACTCTGAGTGACAGGCTCCTGCCCCTTCCCCCTCTACCTTCTGGGCTTCCAACAGGAGACCTTTCCTACTTCCTAGAGGTACTTGTCCTCACCAGGGTGATGTCGTATTTCTAGGACTAAGATTTCTTCTTCTAATGATATATACATAGATCTAACTAGCTATCTATCTAAAATGGTAATAGTTAAGCCTTTACCCTTTGTATGCTAAAACGTGTGTGTATATGCACACACGTGTATACACATCCACACACGTATGTGCACGTGCACACATGTGCATAATCACATACACGTACACGTGCAGGTGGGTACTTAATCACATACACGTGTGTGTAATCGCATGCTTGCATGTGTATACGCACACACGTACACATCCACATATATAAATGTCTGTGCACATATTCACACACCTGTGTGTGTGCGCACATGTAGATACATATTCACATACGTGTGCACATGCACGCATGTGTATGTATTCACATACATGTATGTGTGTGTATGCACATCACATACAAACTTCTTCTTAGTGAGTTTCCCCCACAAGCAAAATTTAGCTAAGCTGCTCTTGAGAACTCTTCAAGGGACGTTAGGACCCAAGCAAACAGGGACCCAGGCCTTGAGGGCTTACGGCCAGTCTGCTTTTCCTTCTGGTGACCCTACTGGAGTCCCTAAGGACTCTTCACAGTCCTCGTTCACGCTTGGGTATAAAGGCTGGTAGTGAGGTAGCTCTTGCCCTTTGTATTCTAAATGAGCCTGCACCCTCAGGAGAAAGAGATGAAGCTCTTGAGGCTGAGATTTGAGGCGGGGTTTGGTGCGATGGGGTGGAGAGGGAGATTTGGTTCTAAGGCATCTCTGATCACCACCTTCCACCCCATCTCACATCTCTGGCTACATGTCCTGGGACCTGGTACGACCACAGTGTTTAAGTGCAAACCTATGTTTTTGCTCCTGTGTGAGCCTGGCCAACCACTGGCCACAGGAAGGTCACTTATCTCCCAGACGGAAATGTTCAGAACCTGGTTGAGAACCATAAAGGAACCAACTCACCCTCTGAGCAGCGCAAGCAGACCGTACAAAGTTAATTCTTAGAGCAGGCACATAACTCACAGTGGTGCCCTCATTCAGCACGTCTATCGTTCTCAGACCCTTGGCTACCGTTTCCCCACTTCACATTGATCAAATGTAGGAAACAGACCCACTACAGCAGCAATAACAGCTAACAGCCTGACTCACAGGAGGAAAAAGACAAAAGCTGGTGGAAGAACTCAAAAGGTGGGCGTTTAGTGAAGGGACAAGCTGCTTCCAGCACCTCACTGCTCCAGGAAAACATCACCGTACCGAATGACAGCCCCATACAGTAGTTAGTACTCAGAGTAATAACTCGGGGTTATCTGGAAACGTTAAAACGATACCAATGTGCTCTGTTTTTAGGAAGAGAATTCCCAAGCTCTGGGCAAAGGGTCCGGCACTGAGGAGGGCCCCCTAGAGGACAGTGGCGATTACTGCACTGTAAGACCCCTGCGCGGGGAGGAGGAGTGCGGGGGGGTGCCGGCGCTGGGAACCACCTACCTCTGGATGTTATCTTCCAGTTGTTTGACTCTGAACTCATCTTCCTCAGACTGCCGCCTCCTGGCTTCCTCCTCTTCGGCAGTTCCAGCGGGGATACCCTGCAGCAGCCATTTTTCCCGAAGCACTTTGGACTGTGGGAAGGAGGGAAGAGAACAGACTAGATGACACCTTTCAGTCCACAGCCTTCTCTGTGTCGCGGTGCCTCGGTTTTAGCTCCGCCCCTCATCAGTGGTCACCTGAATTGCTGCCTTCGCCTCCTCACTAACTTGGCTCCCGACTTCCCTCAGGCCTAACCCCTAGAGAGCCACCAAAGGGGTTTATTTCTGCATTTCCTACTATAAAAAGCTTTTGAAAACATACAGAAAAACAGGAAACAGTACAATGAATGCCCATGTCACTCATCTAGCTTTACAATGATAAACAGTTGCCGTATTTCCCACAAATTTTTCACCAAAGCATTTTAAAGGAAATAATAAACACCATGACATTTCACCCATAAGTATTTCAGTATGAATCTCTAAAACATAAGGACATTTTTCTGTGCTACTGCAATTCCATTATATAATTTCTTAAGATCACCCTAATATCGAGTCCATCTTAAGGTGTTTCTTTGTTTATTTATTTTATTTTTTTTTTAAAGATTTTATTTATTTATTTGAGAGAGAGAGAATGAGAGACAGAGAGCACGAGAGGGAGGAGGGTCAGAGGGAGAAGCAGACTCCCCGCCGAGCAGGGAGCCCGATGCGGGACTCGATCCCGGGACTCCAGGATCATGACCTGAGCCGAAGGCAGTTGCTTAACCAACTGAGCCACCCAGGTGCCCAAGGTGTTTCTTTTTAAAAAAAAAAAAAAGATTATGTCATGCTTCTTCTTAGAAGTTTTTAATGATTCCCAACCATCCTCAGCAGTGGTCTCCAAATGGTATTAAAATCATGCACTCCATTTGCACCAGTGTACTAATACATTGTGAAGTGAAATAAAAAGGTGGGTTGTTTTTTAGTTTGTTTGTTTTGTTTTTAGTAGGCTCAGGTGGAGCCCAATGTGGGGCTTGAACTCACAACCCTGAGATCAAGATGTGAGCTGAGATCAAGAGCTGGACGCTTAACTGACTGAGCCACCCAGGTGCCCCGAAATAAAAAAAGTTCTGACTTTCACATCAATGGCTGGGAGGGAGCCATTACTGCTTTGACAAGAGAAATGAAAACAGCTCAAAAGAAAGGCATGCTGAAACTCCCTAAAACAAAGAGTAAGGTGAGGAAGGCACGGGAGAGGATTTTTGATTTGGGTTTCCATTACATGGTCCCTAGATGGCCGATGGTGGTTATTGGATGTTTGCAGGGGCTGGACTCTGGGCATCATGGCTGAGCATCCCCTTGGCAGGTCGGTGGTCCTGGGAATGGAGTGCTGTAAGGGTGCTGTAAGCAGGGCATGTCACCAGTTTTTCCCTGGTCCCATAATGGCTATGAGGCCATTCAACATAGTGTAAGCATAGAGTAAGCACTGGGTTCCCTGGATCCCAGAATCACCTCCATCAGAATCTGGTTTGACCTCATCAGGCAGGCTGAGCAAGGTAAAGGAAAGGGAGCCCTTATAATGACTAAGAGCCAGGTTATGCATGGCTTGCAGCCAATTAAATATGATGTACAGAAATGAGAGAGTGGAATATCTCTAATATTGTGGACACAGAATTCATACTCACTTCAGTTTCCTTTCTACAGCTCTTATAAGCAAAAGGTAGACAATTCCAGAGGTTCACATTTGTCTTGAGATCAAGGAATAGGAGCTACTTATGATGAAGCTATAAAATGAGTTACTAAAAATTACCGACATTTAGTAATAGTAAGAATTCATTAACGGTTCTGATTCACCTTTCTATTGAGAAATCCAGCAGCTACGCAGGGCTCTGAAGCCCCTGCTGGATGCACAGGCGCAAGCTCCAATGGCTAGAATGCCTACACTTCTTTTTTTTTTTTTAATATTTAATTTATTTATTTGACAGAGAGAGAGAGACAGCGAGAGAGGGAACACAAGCAGGAGGAGTGGGAGAGGGAGAAGCAGGCTCCCCGTGGAGCAGGGAGCCCAATGCATGGCTCAATCCCAGGACCCTGGGATCATGACCTGAGCTGAAGGCAGACACTTAATGACTGAGCCACCCAGGTGCCCCCAATTCCTACACTTCTGAATGGACTTTTTGTTAGCAATGCCTCGGTGTGGTATCCAGGTAGTCATAGTCTTCACTGGTGTTATTCTTGCCCTTTAATTATAGATCGTTTTTGGTGGACGTCTGTTTGGTTACCCTTACATACAGTACATAGGGAAGCATATTTATGGCACTTGGCCTATAGCTTTCCACTCATTAAAGACATGAGGTTGTTCATATGTAAGTTATTCCAACTGTATGCTAAAGGGATTGTACACGGAAGCCGCCCTTACCCAATTTAAACAGTTATACATCATTGGTAACATGGTGCCTGTAAATGTATATACAACTACCACCAAGGATAGTGTCAAAAAAGTACTTTAAAAGTTTCTAGGGCATTATTTAATAATATAAAATCATGTGTAAAAGCTCACAGTACAATTTGTTTACATTGGTTGCTCTTTCTTAGGGGCTAAATTATAGCTCCTCCCCCCACCAATTCATATGTTGAAGTCCTAAACCCTCCTACCTCATAATGTGACTGTGTTTGGAAATAGGGTCTTGAAGGTTAAATGAGGTCATTGGAATGGGCTCTAATCCAGTATGACTGGTGTCCTTATAAGAACTGGAGATTAAGACACAGACATGCACAGAAAGAAGACCATGTAAAGACATCAAAGGAAGACACCCATCTACAAGCCAAGGAGAGAGCATTAGAAGAAGCTAACCCTACCAACACCTTGATCTTGGCCTTCTAGCCTCCAGAATGATGAGAATATGTCTGGTGTTTAAGCCACCCAGTCTGTGGTCTTTGTTATAGCAGCTCTAGCAAACTACTACATTCTCCATAGCTTTATTACAGAGATGTTTCTTCCACTGGAAAGTGGGGATGAGTGGGTTAAATTGGTTTCTCCTTCTAAGTGGGCTACAGAAAAAAAAAAAATTCAAAACCACTGTTCTCCACTCAAAATTCTCCAGGTATCATGCTCACACACAGTGAGAAGCCATGTCAAACAGTGGTTAACAGCCTGAATTCTGGGGCCAGTCTCCCACTTATTAGCTGTGTGACCTTAAGATAGTCTCATCTGCCTCACCAAACCTCAGTTTTCTCATCTGTAAAATGGACATGATGACAGAGCCCACCTCAGGCTTGTCATGAGGATTAAATGAGTTCATACGCAAGTGCTGAGCCCATACTTAGTACTAGAGAAATGTTTATTATTGTTGTCCATGCTGTTCTTCTGGCCTCTCCTCCCTTCATCTGAGAAAGAGCAGGTAAAATGAAGCCTTCCCCGTTCCCACTGGCAGGATCCATGGCTCTCTGCTCTGTCTCCTCTAGCAGAGAACATACTCCAGCGCACTCTTAACACTGTTCTCCAATTCTTTCTTTTTGTATCTTTCCTCCTCTGAACTCCCAGCTCTTCAAAGGCTGGGACTGTTCTTCATTCATCTTTGCATCTCATTGCTGCACCCAGCCCAGTTCCAGAGAATGAATGAGTAAATGGGTGAATTGGAAAAATCTCAACTGTCATTCTAATTACTCAGAAGGGGGGTGTTGCACTTTCATTCATAGTGCTCCGTGAGTTGAAATGTTTGATACTCACCTAGTTCAACCCATAGAGGGTAAAAACCCTGTTAGGATTACTGGGGGACAGATCTATTGGCAACCTTGGTCTTGGTGTGTGTACTCTTCTGAAAAGGCAGCCATGGACAGACCCAGACTTCTCTGCCCCAGCAGGGATGCTCTGCAGCCGGGGCTTCTTGAAACGTGACACAGTGGCTACTTTTGGGAATGTTCTATCTGCTCTTCTTCACACTGTGCCTCCTGCCACCCAGGAAAGGGTCTAACGGCTCATTTCTGGCTAATTGAGTCCTAGCCATCCATCAGTACTTCTGACAAGAGCCGCCTGGTGACCATGAACACCGAGAGCACGTGTGCCCTCACATCTGTCTCTTCTCTGGATAAGCCAAGCATCCCCAACAGCTGGAGCCAAGAAGAGAGATTCTTTTTTTTTTTTTAAAGATTTTTATTTATTTATTTGAGAGAGAGAATGAGAGAGAGCACATGAGAGGGGGGAGGGTCAGAGGGAGAAGCAGACTCCCTGCCGAGCAGGGAGCCCGATGCGGGACTCGATCCCGGGACTCCAGGATCATGACCTGAGCCGAAGGCAGTTGCCCAACCAACTGAGCCACCCAGGCGCCCAAGAAGAGAGATTCTAACAGAACAAGACAGTGGGCCTGGTCTCAGAGAAGTCTGTTTCACAAAAGTGTTTGGACATTACAACAACAAAAAAGCAAAGTTGATTTTTTTTCACTTGGTCTTAAAGTAACGCTGCTAGGGCAAACCACCGATTCTAATACGTTTACCACCGAAGGTTCCCTTAACCTACGCCAGATGCCCTCCTGTTGTCCCTGAGGGTCGGCTGTGCTGCAGCCTTGGAATATAATGCACTTGTGCGGGCTGACCACACACACCCATCGAAAGCACCAGTTTCCCTCTACTGTTCTGGTCCCTATTGGCTGCCTGAGTGTTTCAGAATTAAGTGACAAGCAGAGCACGGCAGAAGTGAACACTAAAAATAAAAACTTGTCATTTTTTTTTATGTCCGAACTGCATATACCAAAAAATTGTATCATAGCTTACAGGGGTGAAGAACTGTCAAACTTCACCTTTGTCAAGTGGATGCAACTATGAGGAGTCAAGACAAAGGAAGTATGCATAAGGCTTACAGGAGAGCTTGCGAAAGCACAGATTCCCACTCCCAGAGGTGTCGATTCTCGAAGTTTGGGATAAGGCCGAGGAATCTGAATTTTAATAAGCTCCCAGGTGATGCTGCCATTGACGGTCCTGGTCCGAGGTCCGCAATTTGAATAGCCCTGCATCAGAACCTGTGACTATCCAAACACCTGGAGAATGCATAAACTTTCCCACTGGTTAGCCAAACGCTGACCCGAAAAGGAGCTCATCATCCTTCCACATAGCTGTCTCTC